AGTTACTATCGATAAAGCACGCTCAATAACGGTAGACACGTATGAAGAAAAATATATATGTATATATAAAAGTTAGGTTATAAATTTTTCGTCATACTCGAACAAATTCGTGAAAATCTCTTCGATAGACACGGATAGATGGAAAACGTATGGAAAACGCGTATTAAGACAAAATTTATAGATGATAAATTTTTCGTCGTAATTCCGATGTAAAATAAATCTCTTCGATAGATAATAGATAATACAACACGCGATTTATAAATTACAAAAGTAAATTCAAATTGATCCATGTGGCTTTTCTTATCTCAATTATGATCGAAACACCTTTGGTTAATGATGGTTTAACCAAAGAATATGTAATTCGATATTGACAATGAAAACCGAGTGAAATTTTCATGGAATACACGTTTGAATTTTTTGTCGTTAATACACATTGCGTTTAACCGGTGAACCGATCGTTGAAACATAATTAAAAATATGTCGGGAACAAATTTTGTTTCACGGAACAATCCATTTCAAGGTTTACTTTGTGTCCGTTTAATTATTTTTTATTTCGATTTCCCCATGGCCTTTGTAACTTTTCCGTCTACGCTACGAGATTGGTTGCTGTTGTTTGAAAGAAAAGTTACGATAATATTAATCGAAAAAATCATTTCGTCAACCGTGTTTATTCCTCTTCTCCGTGGAATTTTATTTATTTCGAAAATCTTATTTATTAAAGAAAATCTTATTTATTTCGAATATTTAAAGAAAATTTTATATTTCATATATAAAGAAAATTTAGGTTGGTATACATGAATATTATTTTCGAATCGTCGCGCTTTTAATCAGAGTGATTTATAATTTAGAAATAATTTTAAGTTTATAATTGCAGTATAATTAATTCGATTACAAATTTTCAATTTTATAAGTTTGTTTAAATTGAATTAGGTTTTTATGTGAAAATAAAATTCATTCTAATTTATGCTTGGCCTGCTTTCGTTTCTTTCTTTTATCTTCGCGGTGAACGGATACGAAATAAAATCGCGAGAATTTCACTGCTGCGCGGAACGATAAATTGCAATTTCTTCGAAACAACGAACGTTGAAATTTTGTATTGTATTATTGTTGCATTACTAAATTGTAATTTTCAAACATATAAATTTGTGTTAAGATTGCTTATTCCTGCTATCGTTTTGATATAATTAATTTTCACTTAAAATTTTCTTCAATTGATAAGACCGATTCTGTGTGTATGATAATTAATGATCCTCATGAATCTGAAACAATAGACATAATTAATCGTTGAGGACTTATGAATATATCTATATCTTTTCATCTTTTTTTTCTCGAATAAAATTTCTTTTATCTTACTGCTATGCAAATATGAAATCTTCAATTTCTGTTTGAGGCGCCATAAATGTACTATAATATAATATAGCTCATAACTTATTCTCGAAAGATTCCACGAAACGAACACGATCTCTCTGCTATGAGAGACTTTTCTCTAGGCTGGCAAAACAATTTAATTTAGTTTAACGTGCTTTGAATTTGTTCCCGCGCTTAGAACGGATCTCATTGTCGACATCGCAACGGCACGGTGAAAAGTCTCGCAGAATTTACTGACTAAAGTGGTTAGTTTGCGAGTGCACTCTGCTTCCTTCCGTCAAAAACTGCTGTACCATCCGAGAGCTGAACAAAATATATACGGGCCACAATTTGTCGTCTCGATTTAGAAAAATGTGCGCCAAGCATGTGATCGGTCTTTCGTGCCTAAGGTACCGTAGCTCAGTTAAAGACGAGTTTTAATTGGTGACGCTTGCGAACGATACAGTATAGGCAGTGTTAAAGTAAAATTGAACGACTTTAAATATTGCATAAATGTGTGTGTGTGCATGTGTGTACGTGTACGTGTATGTCTAAATTGATGTTATTGTCTATTACTATCGTGGAATTATATAATCGTTTATATTATGAGTTTTGAGTGAACGAATGATGGTTTTCTTAACTATTTGCGACTAATTGACGATTCTAACTGTACACTAATAAGAATTGTATCGTTGCTGAATTCTATCTGATTTTGTATTCTATTTCTAATTATTCTAATTGATCTAATCTAGAAGACTGTCGCGGGTCTTAGTTTTTTATTCAATTATTATTTTTCGTGAAAATGTAAACTAAGAGGTTAGTTGTGTTCGTTTCCATTAGTTCCGTTGCAAGACACTAGGCGCGCAAGTGTGACTCGTGAAGCTGCCATTGTTGCTATATTCTTTGTTTTAAATCGAGGATTTGAAAAGCATTAAGGAACTGTATCTGTGTTCGTAAATTATTGTTATACTATTGAAAATACTGAAGCTATTGAAAATAAAATCTAAGAGGCTATCTGACCGTTTTACTAGTTTTGGCTTTGTCCTTAACAAGCGAAAATAAATATTCAAGTGAGTAAGATGCATTATCATTTTTTTGGTTAAACAATTTTCTTACATAACAAAGCAAAATTCGTAATGAGTTTAATAGGACTTATATATAGGCAACTGGTGAGCAGTACTGGATTTGCTTAGCTTTGCTCTCAGTTATATATAGATAATTGTACTAATCTCCATTCTTTTAGTTCTGTTACCTCGATATGGCTGAACAACTGGTCTAAAGTTCCAAGCCCCTTTCTGTTGTCCATAAGTTTGCTCTTAGTATTGTCCATAGCACTGATCTCCAAGTTCCAAGCTTCCACTACTCTAATTCTATAACTTTTTTCTCAATATTTCTTGAATAGCACTTGCTTAAAGTTCCCCCATTCTGTTCATTCTACTGTCCATAGCTTTGCTCTCAGTAGTAAAGTTTAAAGTTCTAAGCTCTCACTCTGCTATTTTTGCTATCCATAACTTTCTCCTCAATATTGCTGAATAACAGTAATCCAAAGTTAAAAAAGTTTTTAGTCTCTCATTCTCTGTATCCATAAATTTGCAGTATTGCTGAACAGCAGAGTGATCTAAAGTTTCTTAGTTCTCACTTTGCTAGATTCGCTGTCCACAATTTTGTCCTTTGTGTTCTCTAGCTTTTATAGCTTTGTCTTCTAATCTAAAAATTCAAGCCATCATTTCACTTATTTCATAATTGTTCATAATTTCAGCATTATTGAATAAAAATTTCATATATATGAATA